TTTGTCTATTCCCATTTCCATAAATATGACATTCGTTTTTGTCTATTTCTATATGTTCTATTTCTATATATATATATATATATATATGTCGCAAAATAAAAGTGTTTTCTTATTATTACATTTGTTTTTATGTTTTTCCATTTCAGTAAATATGACATTCGTTTTTGCCTATTTCAATTTCCATAAATATGAATACCAAGATAGGTATTATGAATGCCTTATCAGAATTATCAGTGTTTAGGTTATAAACATTGGCAGATAGCAGTCCATCCCGACCAGATTCTTCATAAGTACCAAATTTGACAATGCCTTTTGGATTTTAGTTTTGATTTAAATAAATGCAGTAGCCCACAGTAGCTGTGACTATTTATTGTTTGATCTTTAGGTTTAAAGTCAATCAAAATTGGACCTTCCACATCCCAAAAAATCGTCATCATAAGCTTTCCTGAAGGCATCAGAATTCGGAACTATTTTGCTGTGGGACATGAAGGATGTTTCCGCACCAAACTTTGTCGCTTATTCTCTGGTTCAAAGTGACGGACCCATTTCTCTATAATGATTATTATTCGTTTAAGGAATGAGCCCCTTCCCCTTTTTTTGTAGCATTCCAAATCTTTCTGAGAGTTTCAAACGACTGTCTTTGTAGATGCTGGTCAGTTGACGTGAAACCCAGCGAATACAGACTTTTCGAAACTTTAGAGAATGAGGGATGCTTGATTCAGCTGGTCTGGTTCTAATGATAAGCAATACTAATTCACAAATGTCTTTAGGTTGAATACCTGCAAATGTGTTGAATCAAATAAGGATAACAATAATGTGAGACATGATGGAGACCAGTGCCTCTTCTTGGCTTCATAATAGATCATAAGACAGTCAAAGAGATCTCTCATTTAACTCCTTTCTAACCTTCACAATGTATTTTTCATAATATCCATTCTAGTCTTACATATTGCAGTATATGTCTTAGGATGACAAAATATTTTTCAATTAGTTTTTTTATTGTAAAATATCTTACATGATGTTTTAAATCTTATCTTCTACAATATGTATCTGTAAGTCCATGTGCAGTAGTTTGTGACAAGTATACCATGGAGATGGTGTAATGTTTTGAAATGTCTTCAATTGCCAAATTTCATTTTATTTAGGTATCCCTTAAATTTATGTAGTATATAAACAAATAGTATTTTCAATATCGAGTGGAATGTCATATGTCTTAAAGTGATGCAAGAACCGAACCTTGGGTCTCCTGGTCTTAATTTGGTAAAGAAATAAAATTTTTAAGCCTCGCCAGACAAAAATGAAAGACAGAAGATTATAAATTGGAGAGAGAAGTCTTTTCAGTTTGTTTAGATATAAAGTACAGCAGCATTGGTTGACAGATCGTATCAGGTAAAAACTTCAACCCATAAAGGGTCCTGGGTTCAATACTATGTAGAGAAAGTACTGTTTCATGGTCAGCAGTTGTGCAAGAAGGTGATTTGACCAAGACCAGGTTTTCTCCCTTAATTAATTATATAATTAAGATTACCCACTTTATAGAGGCTGGATGTGCCCCAGGAGGGTCTCTCAACCTGAGAGACGATCCACAACCGATGAAACAGAATAAATAATTTATCTGCCATAAGACAGGATTCGAACCTGAGACCTTGAGCATTATAAGCTCTGCACCCTACCACTGAGCAACCCTACTTCCTGTCATATTGTTATGTCATGATATGATGTTAATATCATCAAAATCATTATCTTTATTTCTATAGAGGTGTTTTATAAGTAATATATTCGGTTAGAAACTAAATAAAAAAAGGTAAAGGCTTTAAGGAAATGTAAGTTACTCCATTACTTATTTAAGTTTGGAAGTAAGAGGGCTTCAAGGAGAAGGCTTTATCCAAGTTTAATTAAAATCATTGCAGCCGTTTAGGCGCTACAGTCTGTAGTGACACACATTTTTCGACCAACTTTCCGAAACAAAAGGACGGATGAAAATTACATATATACATAAAAACACTCCTGAATCCGATAGAAACGTTATGTAAAAATTTCAAAGCAATCGGTGAAGAAATTTCGGAGATTAACCGTTTTGAACAAGCGAACATTTACATTTTTATTTATATAGATTAGAAATAATTAAATTTCTCTAAGTGTTACCTGTTATATGAATATTACAGAAGTTGTCTCCAATAAACTCATACATATATACAAAGAGGCCCAGCCAGAAATATTTATTAAAGGAGTGATAGTGTACCAAAATCGTAGTTTAGTGCCACCAACCGTACCTTCCTATCTCAAAGGGTTGTCGAGAAACGACATTTTAAAGGGTTTTCCATATTTAAAAAAAAAAAATTTAATTGAATTTTAATTTTTGTCAGCACTCAAGGAATATATAGTGAAATTCTAATATAATAGCAACCAATTTTCAGAAAAATATCATCAAAGAAAAAATGTATTTAAATTTTTTAATTTGAGTTCTACCAATGGGTAGTTTCTCTTCATGTTGTACATGCCATGTTACAAATTTCTCATTTACTTATTGTATTCTCTATGTAATACAGTTGTAAATTCCATTGAAATAATAAAAAAAAAAAAAAAAAAATTTTAAATATAAAAATAAAAATATAAATAAAATAAAAGAAAAAAATGTATAAAAACAATTTATTTTTATAAATAATCGGTTGAATCTCACACAATGAATGTTCGAATAACTACCTTGCAAATTTCAAAACAGTTGCTTTATTTTCTAATTGTGCACACAACTTTCTGAAGCTAGTAGTATGATTTCTGAGAAATATAAAGTTTGGAAGCTCAAAAACATTAGATATTTACAATACCTATATCTGGGTAGTATTTGTTGGTTACATGAGAATTGTGGGTGGTTAACTATTGAAATGCCATTTATAGTTCCTCCAACAATAATTCAATACTTTAGCAAATTTGAAAATTTTGTATATTGGCAAAATTATAAAAAGCACTTGGTTTCTTACAAAATAGAAAAAAGGTCTTAAATAAATTCTTATCAAGACGCAGCTATTTTACAAAACTATGGAAAATATCACTGCCCAGGCACAAGAATTTCATAACATAACTTTTTAAGTAGAAATTAGAGCTAATAAAATAACTGTTCAAAAATGCTTATCTTCTTGTTGGAGGTATAAACTGAATTTCCAACATCATCAATTTTTTTGTTATGCATTATTGAGGAAGTTGGTGGTCAGATTCTAGTACTCATAGATACCATTAAAAAAATATTTTAAAAATACTAGGAATTCAAATTGTTGTATTTAAATTTTTTGAACTCTCAAACTCAAAATCTTTTCATAATTATTACAGCTGCACTAAGTTGGAAGATCTTTGAAATGCACCAACTTTTTTTTTTAATCTTCAAATATGATTGCATGACATTCCATCAAGTACTTTTGAAAATTATTCTTGTATTTTTCATAATTTATTTACTTTGCTTTGACTGCTATGATCGCCTGATGAGATGATATTGGTTGCTATCATAATATTATACACATCATAATACACAATACTTCAAATTAGAATATTTAATGTAAGAAAAGCTGGCCAGCACAGTGAGCAGTTTCAACGTCAGTAGCGGTAAGAAGTAACAGATAGCAGTCACTGCCACCTGCTTTATGGTATTTTTTTTAAAGGTGGAGCATATACATAACTGTTAGAAAATTAATTATGGATGAAACAAAATTTTTAAGACTTCGAGTAAAGATATTTTTATTGGGATAGCCGACATTATGACCCACATCTTTGGATCGAAACGTCGGCTAATCCAATAAAAATATCCTGGCTGTAAGTCCTGAAAATTTTGTTTCATCCATATAATTGGTCAGATGACTATTTACCCATCTAGAAAAGTAATTAAATTCCACGAGATATGAAAAAAATCATCAAATTTAGAAAATTTTTGTTCTTAACCTGGCCATTTCTTTTATAAGAAGTCATCATCTTACCAGCCTATTCAGTCAGTTACCAGCCTATTCTAGCCCGAGTGGAAAGATAAAAATTCCCTCTATATGTCCATCACAAATTAATTTTTGACCTGCTCAGGTCGGATTCGAAACATATAGACCATTTTGTGTGACTAGGTTATTTGGACTCAGGAGTTCTTGAAACAAGTTTTTCTCAATGAATAAAAACATATTTTCGACTAATCCAAATTTGAAATTGTAAAAGGTCCCAATAATTTTTCTTACTATTTATTTCATATTCAGGTATGAAATTAAATTAATTTCATACAAGTGAAAGCACAAATTATCATTATAATTGTTTTGGTTTTTATGAAGAATTTTTGTATGTTTTCAAAAAATTTTGCAAAATGGACTTGGGTGAGTTTGTAACTAGACACCTCATAAATTCTTTGAATTATTCTAACCATATTTGCGAGGGTGAATGAAATATAAATGTGGTTTTATTATATATATATTGAAAAACAAAAGATAATTATAATTTATTTATCCATAAAGTTTCTCAGTTTAGAAATACATTCTTCCCAGTGAGAAGAAAGATTTTTGAAGTTTGTTAAATCAGGAGCTAATTGCACACGAGTCCATCCATGCCCCCTCATCTTCAAATAGCTTATAAATTAAACTGCTAGAGAAGCAGTTTGTGACATAACATGTTAAAATAGATTAAAAACCAATTTTGGTTAAAAATAAAAAATCGGTTTCGAGATACCTACCCCACATAAAGCATTGGTGGTTCGCATGATACATTTTTTTTTAAAATAGTAAATAAATTATTTAAATAAACAAAAGCTCATTCAAGAATGATAAAAAAACAACCAATATTGAACATTTCACACACTAATTATAACATATGTATCAAGCTACCCGCACCTGGACTAAAAGAAAATTATAAATTAATGAAATATTTTGATTAAATAGCAAAAACAGAACAAAGTTCTAATCTATTATATTGATATAATCGTAGTAATAGAATTCTTTCACATCTTATTAATCATTAGAGCAATAGAAAATCAAATCAATTACCATAAATACATCATCGTCTCCTACATCTTCAATATGTTTTTGTTGAAATAATTTTTGATATTGAGCAGCCAAACCTGTGGAATAAAATCAATTTTAGAACCAAAAAGCTATTTCAAATTAAAACAATAATTGTATAAACAATAATATTATGTCTAGTGTTACCAATAAAGTTCTATGAAAATAAGCAACTACACCTTGCCAATAATTAGATAACAGTCCAAGGTTTGCCTTATGGCACTAATTTATTCTCCTTACTCTCTGATTTTAATAACAAAATATTTACAAATAGACATATATTACAAAATCATAACACTCAATTGTAATTTATGTATATATAAGTAAAATTCGAGGGTAAAAAAAAACAATATAATATTATGAAACAAAAAAAAACATTGCTTAACATGTAATACATAAGCATTGTAAAACTGTGCAGGAACATTAAACAATAATGTTTGCAAAAACTAGAACATTTAAGAATTAAGTATTGAAAATATCTTTTCTTCAACAATCCACATTTTCAGCAAAGATTTTTGTTAGGAACTCGCTTTTGGCATTTTTCACACTGGGTATTAGCAATGGTAGTAAAAAAATATCTATCACTCTTACACAAAAGTAAAAAAGTGGCAGATTGATATAGAAAATCCAGTGTTTAAGGGATGAGGATAAGGGAGCAGAGGAAAGAAAGGTTTCATGATTCGATATCTCTCTCAATGAATAAGAATAAAGTAAGTAATTTTTCCCTCACTCAAATCAGTGTTTTGGTTTCTTGGATATTACTAAGTAATGTTTCCTACCCAAAGCAACTGATATGAAATGAGGTTTCGTTTTTTCTGTTTTTTTATTTAGAAGTTCAAAATAAACTGATTATATTACTTTCTTAATTTAAAGTACAAGTATATATGATAAATCGTGGATTTGATAAATTGAATAAAATTGTCAATGAAAACCTCGGTATAGATCTGTTTAAGTGAAATGTTACAAAAAAATATCTGTTTTAGTATGAAACTACAAAAAAAAAAAAAAAAAAAAAAATATCCTAGAAAAATTTATATTTTAAACCAACAATTGTAGATTGGCAAAGATCTGTTGAGAACTACAATTCCCCTTATACATCCATCATAAAGGAGGAGTCCTTCACATCCGATTAATTAATTGTGCACAAATCTTAGAAGTTTCTTCCAATTATATTACTTATCAATCATTAAATGTTTACATAAACAAAAATTAAAAAAATATATATAAATTTGTCACTAGTTGCGATTGATATTAATATTTTTTATAATTACAGCAGGATAGTGATTGCAGTGTCATATAAAATTTAAACATCAAAAATATGTATTCCTGTGACATATTTATACATGATTACAGCATACTAGAACCAAAGGTAATACTGGACAAGTGAATCTAACCATTTTTTAAAAACATCATAATTTAACTTGTCAGGTCTTCTCATTATAACACAACAAAGTTCGAACACTGTTATGATAGGAATTTGGACTATCACCGATGTTGTTCAACTTAGCGCTGGCGGAGAAGGTATAAGAACATCACACAAAAATTGAGGAGTCCATGACAAAATGAATCATAAAATTTTTGGATATGCAGATGATATAGCTGTCCTTGGAAGTAATCAAGAGAACATTGAGAAACTCACTAAGATTCGGAGAACAATTCGGTCTAGAAGTAAATTAAGAAAAAACAAACTATATGATAAGAAAAAAATCCAAACCCAATAATTGGATCTGTGTAGAAGGAAAATCGTTCCCGAGAGTAGAAAAATTCAACTACCACGGTCCACAATAACCTCAATAAATGACCAATGGTCAGAAATAGAGCAGAGTATAACAAGGGCAAACAGAGCTTTCTTCTCCCTTTCAAAGGTATTGAAACCCTAAAAAATTTCAAGAAATCTCCAATTAAGGGTGTACAATCCTATGATAAAACCAGTTCTGGTATATGGCTGTGAGACCTAGACACTAACCAGCACTCTAGAAATAAGTATAGAAAGGTTTGAGAGGAAAATTCGCCACACAGTAATATGAACAATCTATACAGAATACTAACACATGGAGAATAATGACCAATAAAGAGCTACTTACAGAAACTGGTCAATCAATATTGATGAACATTGAAATATGGTCAATTGCACATTATATGAAGACAATGAGGTTAATATGGCTGGAGCAAGAAGTTCGGAGCAATCCATCTGGAAGCCTCTACATGATAATGAATGCCCCAATAGTAGGCAAAATATCACATGGAAGGCAAAAAGCAGATGGATAGATCGAATCAAGAAACATGCAATAGAGCTGCGTGCAGATAACTGAAAAGAAATAGCCCAAGACAGGAAGAGAAGGAGCAGGCTTGTTAAAGCAGCAAAAGATCTACAAGGTCTGTAATGAGAAGAAGAAAAAAGTAAATTTTATTTATTATCAAAATGCCAACAGAAAAAAAAGTACCTTGAATGCTTTGATAGCTAATGACTCATTTGAAACATATTATGACAAATTGTTAAATATAAATAAAACAAAATTAATACATTAGATTACTGCAATAATAACTGTTTCTGAATACCAGACCAATAGAGGATAAGGTAAATGACCAACTATTGCAATTTTACAGGTGATCTCTCAATACCATACCGAAGAAAAATATCACAGATAATAGAAATTAGTTCTAATACTGGAAAAATGCACCATAAAAAATAAATAACAGTTATACATAAATAAAAGGATAATACTTCACAAAAACTCCTCGCTCTGCTCTATTTGGGTACATGCTTCTAATATATTGGGTTGAGGAAAAAGTAATTTTGTTTTGTTTCATGTTTTTCAATTTTCTTTATATAAATTTCAAACACTAACAGATATATGTGCCATTTTGATCAATGAAATTTTGCCACTTTTCTGGTAAAACATAAGTTATATAGCAGTTCTGAGATTTTTGAGCAAAAAACTGAACCAAGTGATTTTCACAATCATCTTTTGATGCCTAGTTTACACAATTGAGGAATGTCTACAGAGATCGTATTAATGATAGTCAAGCAGCACAAGTTCTGGGTTATTCGATGGATGCATCAAAACTTCCCAGCCAAGCTCTATCAATTTGTGCCGGGTCATTAAAGATATATATGGGCCTAGCATTGTTGTGATGGAAGACAACGCCTTTCCGATTAATCAAGTTTTCTTAAGGCCAATTTTTTTTAATCATCTGCTTCAATCGCACTTCTTATTCACAGGAGAATTCGCAGAAGTTGACAGAACAGATGATTTGGCCAGGTTTAAGCAGCTCATGATTAACAATTTCTCTCCAATCCCACCAAATATTCACCATCCTTGGCGTCAATCTGGGATTTGTCACTGTTAGCTTAACTTCTCCAGGCTTTGACCATGATCTTTTGCACACATCATTGTCATACGTGATCCACTTTTCATCACCTGTAATCATTTGTTTAAAAAATGGCTCGAATTCGTTTTGTTTCATAAGCAATTCACAAAGTAAAACTCATTCTATTAAATTTTTCATTGTAATTTCATGTAGAACCGAAGTATCGAGTTTTTTTTTTTTGTATCTAGCCTTATGTAAATGGTTTTAAACTGTTCACTAATCGATTTTTAGTTCCTTAGCAATGTTGAAACATGAAAAATGTTGGTCTACCTCGGTTTTGAAGGATTTCATCAACTTTTTGGCTGGACAGGGTGAGGTTTATTTTTAATGTCAAAATTTGCGAAACCAAAACGAGCAAACCAACATGGCATTCACTTGAGCAATCATTACCATAAACATTATGTAATTTAAAATGAGCCTGCACTGCATTTTTCGGAAATAAAACAGCAAAATATGATGAAAATGATCTTCAGTTTCAAAGTGCAACAACTGTTGACTGAGTAAATGAATGCCGTTATTTTTGTAGATAGAATGTTCTATGGACTGTGGTCTTTCAAATGCACTGCGGAATGGTTTCATTTTACAAGGATTACAATAGATAAGAGACTTTAAAGCCGCCTATTGGGGTAAAACAAAATTACTTTTTCATTAACTCAATATAATTTTTAATAAGTATGATAATAATTAGTTTATATTTAGAAAATTCCAACCACACAGTCTTATGTCTCCAAAAACACAGTCTTATGCGGGCAAAAAATAAAAGCCTATCTGATGATGATAATAATAATATTTCACATGTTATTAACTTACCATCCAGTAATTCTTCCACAGCTGTCCTTACACCCTTATCAAAAGCCCTTGCATCAGCAGCTGTTTGAAAGGTCAAACCAAATTTTTTATCTCCTGTTTTCCAGTGATGAAAAGTAGGCATAACTTTATTATATTCAAAATCTTTTTTTATAACACAGCTAAGTATAATCTGAAAATATTAGACATACAAAATATTATTTCTTAAGATAATAATTAACAGATTAAAAAAATAGACTAAATTAAAGTTATTTACCGCTTGGTCTGAGATTCGCTTTCCATAAATAAGGTACTCATGTTTGGTTTCTTCTGAATGTTCTGAGGTGATGACACGCTTTCGGACAGACACGTTGGATAGGCCCCCTCCACCCATTGGAACCCATCCACCCGTGCTGTCATCGCGTATCATCACCTGCGCTCGGACACGCACCAGGTAGTTACCACTAAAAATACATTATATTATTGAAATAAATTAAAATAATTAAAGAATAAATCATTGCATTAATAATACAAGAAGATTTTTATTATATATTACACCTAGGCCTGTCATAAATATTGTTACAAGGAAATATATACAGATTTCAACAGAAAAATTAATTTTTTCAAGAACTTTATTAGAAAGCAAAATGTATATCTATAGGGAGTAAAACAAAATATAAATTACTCATGTCCCCCTTTAGCCTTGTAGCCAGGTATTTAATCATCGTGGCCAGTCATCAATAGCAGCACCCAGCACTTCTTGAGGAAAGCACTCAACTGCTCGGACCAGATTGAGGCTTTCATTAGGGTGTGCTCTGTGGTATGCCATCCTCTCCAGTTCGAACCAAAGCCGATAATCTAGTGGGTTGAGATCTGGGCTTCCTGAGACACAATCCAAGGCAGAGATGAACTCTGGAATGTTCTTTTGCAGCCACTGCTGAGGTGACCTGGCCTTGTGAGCTGGAGTGGAATCCTGCTGGAAAACTCAATGACTTCCAGCAAAGAGAGTATCATTTAGAGGCTTGGTAACAGGTTCCAAAATACCGTCCTCATAGTTTTTAACGGCTGTTTTAACTCCTTTTTAAAAAAATAGAGCTATGTGGTGTCATCAAAGCAAACTCCCTACCAAACCATCACTGAGGAAGGGTGATGACCTCTTTCTACTCTTCCAATGACTTCCTGGACCTCTCCTCTTTAGAGCTGTGCGTATACACACGATCATTTTGGCGAATAATTTTTTTTTTCAATTGTAAAAATGTTCTCACCGCTAAACAGAATCTTTCGATGAAGACCATTGGTGTAATGGCCAAGGAGCACTTTGCACCAATCCACTTTAATTTTTTTTTAGGGAAGTGGTAGCCTTTGCCCTGTCATTCTTCGAAATGGACACATCCTACGGTTACTTTTTACTATGTGAAACATTGATCTGACTGAGATTCCCACTTCCCAAGACATGATTTGTTGTTTTCGAATGGGATTTCTACTGATTCGAACAGCCACTGCTCTCACTGCATTTGCTGTTCTCACAGTGCGGGGACAGTCCGGTCAAGATCTATCACATACAGATAGGGCCTCATTATGTCTATTTATAGTGTGATACACGAATATACGGCTGATACTCAAAGGCTTCAAAGTGTTGAAAGTCTCTGATCTACCAGCTATTCGGTTTTCTTTATCACCCCACTCCATGTAACTGAGCGAAAGAAAAATATAAACTAATTGGGATTATTATCCTGACAATAACCTGATAGAGGTAAGGATTATCTAAATGATGGCCAAGGATGTAAACAAAGTTCAACTTTAGTAACAGTATTTAGGGCAGAACAAGCACTATACCAGTAATTTTTATATGAATCGATAAAAAATCAAGTAGATATAAACTGATATTTGAGAATCTTAAAAGAACTAGAACATATCTCTACTGTTAGTGCAAAAATTCGTATGTTGAGTTTTTGTACAAAAACATAAAACCGATTATTTTTTTAAGATTCATTAGTATAATTTCATGTTTTATTTACCTCTGCTATTTGCCTATTACTAGAGGACTAGTTATAGCAGTTGCAGACTATAAGATGCCACTTTTAGCATAACTAGAATAAACATGTAAAATTATTACATATGACATTTTGCACTAACAGCAGCGATAGTTTTTCTATTTACTCATTATATTAGGGGCAATAACTAATATTTAAAACTCAGATTTACCAATTGGTATAAGTATTATAAAATTAACATTAATGTAAATATTAACTGTCTATTATTAATGTTGGGAGAGGTTTTTAGATAACTGAACCTAAATTTAGCCAGACATACTTATATAACAATTAAAACAAACATTTCTTCAATAATGAACTAACTTTGTCAAAAATAAAAAACTGATTCATCTACAAAGATCATGAATTCTTATTTATTATAATAGATTGATGGTTGACTATAGTAAATAATTGAAGAGAAGATGATTGGGGTTTTCATTCAAAATACAAAGTAAAAACAAATAAATTATATTTATTTCCTTTTTTATTCCCAACATTATGACATGACATCCCAACATAAGTTTCAGAATTTCATTAGACAAGATAACATGTAACATAAATGTATATATTATATCTTATCTTGTCATCGCTTAGCCCCAATGAAGGCCTGAAACATAGCCACAAAGGAAATAAAAATAAATATAATCTATTTATTTTTACTTTGTATTTTGACTGAAATCCTTAACCAACTTCTCTTAAAAAAATTCATATATATTGATTTGATATTATCATATACATGATAGATATTTTTTTTAAATTATCTTATAAACTATGCATACACATAATGTTCAACTAAATTAAGATGTGACATGCTTTTTAGATGAAGAATCGACAAGTAATAAATATCATTGGTGGCATATTGCTCTAATAAAATAAATAAATACTTAAAATAATCCAAATTTCATTACATTACTTTACAAAAAAAGTAATAATAATAATTGTACCTATGTTAATTAAAATAACCCTAAAAAAGACATATTATTACATTTATGGTAAGTAGTTTACCAGGAATTCCAGAGGGTGGAAAAACAACTTTACTACTCGAAATTTTTTGGAGCTCCTACTTTTCACTACATGGTCTCAGGAATCCATAGTAAATTCCTTACCTACATCTTAAGTACAAATACACTGCAATATAGAACAAGTATGAAAGTGACTGGACCAAAAATGTCAGAACCATGGGAGAAACTGAAGGAGGACCTATTCAAAATGATTCAACAAATAAAATGATGAGAGAACAAACTAATGATGGCCTGGAATCTATCAATATCTTGAAAATAAAACATTTTTGGAGTAGTGAAATTGTTTTCAGGAATCTCTAGAAAAATTGTATATTTTTAAAACCAGGTTTAAAAACAAGTAAATTAATGGTCTGTTAAAGGAACAATAAAAATAAATATAAAGCGTATCACTACTAAATAACAATAATGGCACATTTAAGTTAACATTTGCAATCTCTAAGTTTTAAAAATAAAAAAGAAAGAACTATTCAAGTAAAATTTAATATTTTCAAACATTGAACTTTAAATGGCAAAATGCAATGACATTTTTTATATTTCTCCTGTAAGGGGGCTTGTTTTCAAAAGTCTTATTTCTTTTTTATTTAACATTATTATGATTTGATACTTTCAAAAAATAAAAAACCCTTCAAACAGCACCAAAGTCTCATAGACCATAGACCTCATTAATGAAGAATAAAGTGATCATACAAATATTTTGATAAGGTTAAATTATATGGATGGATCAGTTTTACTGACTTTAATGAACGTGTTATTGATCACTGAAACCACACTTTAAAAAAAAATATATTAAATGAATATTCTTTAGGAAAAAAATAAATAAATAACGAATAAAGGACCACATGTAAATAGATTAGGACCATTTTTGGAAAGAAAATAAGGACTTATTACCCACTTTACTATGGGATTGAGGCACACTTCGTAATGAAATACGCTTGGAATTTTAAAACATTCTCGAATAAAATAAAATACTGCTCAAGGCTGGTTTTATAAATAAACTTATATCCACACAATTTTTTTCATTGGGTGTTTCTACTTGGGCTTCCATACTTATATCGATTCCTTAAAAAATTGATTAGAATCCACTTTGGAAACAACTGACTCAATTCAAAAGCGAACCAATGGATAACAGAATGTTACCATCATAATACTTTGTTAGAATATTAAACCATCTATGGAATCCAATGGACTCAGTTTCAACGAATTCTGGATCAGAATACATTATAAATACTACTTTAAATAATAGAAAAACCTAAAACAAGAAAAATATTTAGGAAATTTAGGTGTTAAAAGTTAATAATTCCTGGAGCACACCAAATCATTCACCATATATAGAAGAAAAATATAGCAGAGGTAATAGGAAAATTACTTATATTATTTCCATTGCTAATATTGAAACAAAAAAGTAAACAAATTTATGTTGAATGTAATTTGTATATTATCAAAATAACATATCGTAATGAATAGATTATTTATAGCTATTAATGGGACAGTACTTCATAATTTAAGAAGTCGGATTACTCTAATGCTATATCATGATTGGTCACTACGAAGAGAGGATAATGAGAATTAACGATATTCACACCATATATCAGAACATATTCAATTTTTGAAAAAAGTGCAAATAACATTGATAATAATTGCGATGAAGATAATGAATAATAAAAGGAATACATAACTTAAAAATGATATCAATTAAAAGCAACAAGTTTTAAAGGAAGTAAATTTGCCATAAAAAATTCAATAAAATTTGGAATCGACAGGAGGCTAGGTATCAACAAGAAACAGCAAAGATATAATTGAAGGCTCTGATGATAGTAAAATCAGAATAAATCTGGAACTAAGGCTATTTATAGTTGTACATCTGAAATACAGAATCTATTTTGACTAAGTCTGGAGGTAAGGAATAAAAATTCACATGTAATGTATGAATAAAACAAATGAATAAATATTAGTATTTATTAAACATTAAATTTAATGGATTTATTAAACATTAAAACAAAAAAAAATTCATAACTTGAACACACCAACCAAATATACAATCTGTTACTGATAATAACAATGATATCCAAAGTAATTATACCATAAATAATAAAATATGTTTTGGGGTCAGAAATAGTGTTTTATACAACTTCTACTCAATAATATTGATATACTAAAGGAAAAAATAATCTAAAAAATAAAATAAGCACCGCAACTTGAAACAATATGAACATTAAACAAAATGCTAATTTAAAAAGATATTTAATGTGAATTAAAAAAAAAACATTTTTAATTATACTTAATTTAGATAATTATGATAATGATTCAAATAATTTTCATTACTATGAATTTACAATAGTTTAAATACATACCAGTAACGTTTAAATGAGGTCCTAATTAAGAAATATTTCAACAACACAACACAAAAAAGGTAATGAAATGGGACTAACCTTCAATGGGTAAATGTTAATTCATGGAGCACATAACCTATACAGATAAACAACAAAAGATTATTGTAAAACCTCCCAAGTACACAAACAAATCTATCAATACCTCACTCTAGAAAACGAAAAAATAATAAATGTAGTGTTTTTTTTTAGTGAACATCACAAAACCAAAACACTTAAGTCACTTGGTAACCTAAATGTAAATTTAGGAAACCACTATTTTTCTCATATTCTTAGATCTACAAACCAACAAATTAGACAATGGAATTAAAGCACATAAACAAAATCGACTAACATCATGTTTACAAAGGAGAAACTTCACAATCACCATTCCATTCATTATCCATGGCCCCAAAATTTGAGGAATAAGAGTTTCATTAGAAAAACCTCTAGTAGTTGATCTTCCAGAGATTAAACAATTAGAAAATACATGAAGTCCTTTAAACTAAGCCAATGTAACACTATGCCAACCATAACTTCACTTCCAAATCTAACGTAAACGCCCATTAAAAAAGCACTGGTCACTAGTTAAATTGTTGGATTACTTACTCCTCACAAGATTCTGTCATCGTTTACAAAAAGAATAAACTTATGTCTCCCCCATTTTAACTTTTTCACTACCATTTTTGAAGCATATATAATACATCGGCTATACTTATAGGCAGGAAGTAAGCCTGGTCATGCGCCTCTCGGCTAGCACAGCGCAGGACTGCCTTTCTTTGCCATTCAATGAAATAAAAAAAATACTCCATCGATTCATAAAACAATAAACAGGAGTCAGTGCATTTTTGTATTTCATTTGCAAAAGCATATCTTCCATTATTCTTTTGAATATATTTTATGATCAAATTAATAGAAAATAAACTAAATATTGTGTATTAAAAAAAATATGAATGCTGAAATCGTTATATTCAAAAAAGCAAACTTGTCTAATTTGCTCTTATTTAAATAATTGACGGTTTAAACATTAAAAGATTTAAAATTTAGTTATGTAAGAATATTTAGTTGAGATACTAACAAATTAAATACGAAATTTAAAGTAATGTTTATATATGACAAAATCTAGATTGAATAAGTAAAAGTCAAAATGCGCTCCTTTTCTTGCTGCATTAAGAATTCTTTATTTATTATTTCATAATAAGTAAAAATAGTGCTAACTTACAGATAAACTTGTATCATAAAACTCTGCTTTTTATTTTATTTTTTTTTAATTGAGCTTTAAGAGGTTTTTATAAAGTTTATATTACAATATTGAAAACAATTAATGAATATAGCTTAATATATATATAAGTTTAATATAAATTTATTTTGTGTAAAAATTCCATTAAACTGTATGAGTGTAATAAATTAAATATATATTTATCATTGAATAACAATTTACACAACATAATGATGATTGCAGTTCACGTCAGAAAGAAGAGTTTTAAAACATTAACATAATAAAACAACTAAGAACAACGAATAAATTATTTCCTTACATTTCAAAATTAGATAATTTATGAAACAGATAAATTAGTCTGGATACGATTTAAAATATCAATTTTAAAAATAAATTTTCGTAAAGTAAACAATTAAAAGAAATAATTTTCTGTTTAAATCATAAATATTCTGTGAAATATTGAATTGTCTTAGATTAAGGATTCGATTTTTTTTTCAATGTGCGTTGCTGAAAAAATGCATGAAGTGTGAATGAATAGTAAATTACCCTAAAGCTCGTTTCATTGGTCATTTAATGTAAACCTAAGTAACGGATATGAAATACAATTTTAATAACGGTAAAATAAATATTACCACAAGTCTGATTTAATAATAAACTAGATTTATTTTTGTAATATTTTGTTATATTAACATTGATATTTAGCTCAAAATATCGGCTTTAACTATGGATGGTCAAATGTTAATTAGTAATTCATGTGTGTAAATGGTATAGAGATATCAGAATTTTCCTAATGAGCACATACATTTTGACGACTAGCCATCTATTTTGTAGAAAAAAATAAATCTTAACTTCGTTAAAACTATAGTTACTATTAATTTAGTTCAAAAGGAAATTTAATTTTAAAAACTTGTTTATTTGTGTTTATAGAAATAACACCAAGAGTAATTTTTTTGCTATCAGAAGGAACACTCGAATCGAAGTAGGTACTCGAATTTAAAAACATTGCCTAACCGGCCCCCACTCTTTGAGGACTTGCATTAAAGAATCGAAAGGAATGAATGAACGGTGGAACAAACCTAAAATCCCTCAGCCGGCGCAGAAATTCCCTATTCCCCCTTCCACCACATTCAAGTCCTAAGCAACCTTCTCAAGTACAATTTACGTTGGCTGAGAATTTTGCCAATTGTATACATTTAAAAAAAAGTAAGTTGAATCATTAAATAGCCAATAATTATCTTTAACTTGATTAATGGCCTCAAGTAAACCGTTATAGTCATTTTAGTGGGGTGGGACATATTTATAAGGGGTAATCTTTCCCTGCTCGTCAATAGAGGTTGATTTGCATACCTATGTTTTTTTTAGTCATAAAAATAATAACATTACGTATTTGCTAGTTTTTCTTTATCGTTAATCTTATTGTGGTTACGGATTATGATGTCAGGCGTTCTACTTTCCATAGAACGGTTAAACAATTCGTATTAACTATCTTACATCCGATGCTGGTTTTCAGAATCACTATCTGATCCAGAGGGGCCGAAGCCACCAAAAAATGGAAAAATAAATTTACTTTTTATTGGTATTTTATACTTCTTTATAAATATACCATATTTATTTCTGTAGATGATCTGAGGCAAATACTTAAACAATAAAAAAATTATCGCATATATTTTAGCTAGTTAATGGAAAATGTGACAAGAACAAAATCCTAAAAGCATTATTGTTCTTGTAATCGTTGTTTTTATTTATTTATTATTATTTACAGGTCTTCAAGGACCACTTAAACTTTATATAATACAACTTCTTACTATTTGTTTCAGTGAAATTTAAATAACAAAAAAAAAAAACCATTAAGACCATCAAAATAACACAAACTCTATTATATCGACTATAGCCAATAAAAACCTCATAGCTACAACAGTCTATTGGAAACACGTAAATCCAGCTCTATATAAAAAGAGAGATTTAAAATTACATACATATATTTAATTTGTGAATAAGTAAGAATTGTACTACATAGTAAAAATTATCTTAATTAAATTTTTATATCTCTACTCTTTTTATATGTATTTAAACTCTTATTTTTTCTACATTTTAAGATTTGCCAAAATACAGTTACTAGCTTATCAATAAAGCATCGATAAATTTAACGTCGTCATACTAATTGTAAATTGATAATTTAATTTCACACAGAGATATTCATCAAATTATTCACTAATTTAATTTTCTAAAATGTTACTTAATGATTTTTTGGAATAAATCGACGATATATACCTAATTATTTAAAAATATGATCGGATCTAAGTTATTAAGAAACTAATAATTCTATGTTGGACATAAGTTATTAAAATTATGAAAATATGTTTTACTCATCCATGAAATTTTTTTTTTCCACTTCTTCTTTAAAGCTTACCTTACACGATCAATGTTATTGAATCAATAATATTGATCATATTGATCACGTTGTATACAAATGTCAATATAATCGTTGCAATATATCCCTCACGCAGTCAATATATTCGATATTGACAATGTAAAAAGGGCTCCTTATCACAATTTCAATGAAATAAATTTTAAACAATTTCATTAGGTAACTCGATTCAGTAGATTATCTATACGATTTTTCACATTTAAAAATAATTTTAAAAGATTACATTAATTAACTACTTTCGTTTAGTTTCTATGAAACATTTGATTTCCGTTAAATAATATTAATTTTCAGAAATTATTATTTTGATTTTTTCGTTCGTCTCCATTATCTTTTACGACTTGGTACGACTTGTTTTTGTTTTGTTTTTTAAATTCTCAGCTTTCCAACCATAAATTATACGTGTAAATTCTGACTATTATTTTTAAAATTTAATTTTCATTCTTAAAAAACATGATTCTTTTTTCTCCTTTAGAAAATTATCATATTCTTTCATACTTTATATTGAGCCTTTTTGTATTATTGCTAACAATGGGAGAAAATTAATTATTTAAAAATAAAAGTACTTCAGAGGAAGAAATTTATTCAACAAACATTGGGCTTAAATTCCTCTCAGGTAACATCAACGAGGATAAGACCTAGATTACGTTAAAGGCCATTTAATTGTACATTAGTATACCGATTTTAATAAAAATCGTTTGAGCTTTTTTGGAGTAAAAATGTGTAAAATCTATGATATAAAGTGATACTTCCGGTTTGCCGATTTTAAGGAAAATGTTGCTGTAACATCATATTCGTAAACCCACCTCAAATACGAAATATCAGTATCGTAAGGCTTTTTTTTAGCTGGTCTGTTAAGATACACCACACCTACTGACTCACACTGACACAAACGATTTTGTGGAACTTCAATATTTGGGCTCAGGGTGACCTCAAACGGAAAATTTTCACGATCACAATACTTTCCCTTACTATATATTACATATATATAGGTAAATGAAAGCAATAATGTGGTCAATATAGCCCGGTCAAAATGCCAAATAGGAGGCCTGGTATTTTTTAAAATATTTATTTATTAATAACGGTAATTATTTTGGAAGAAAGAGAAAGAAACTATATAAAATGAAGTTTAAGCGTTCCTTGAATCTTTCCCCCCAGAAAAACTATGTTTACTACGAAAATAACGCTTTTAGGGATAAAATGTTTGAAAATGGTTATCAAATTCTGTCTCCTTGAAGTACCAGTATTTTCTTCAAAAATATTTACAGTAAATCATTAAAAATCTGATTGTTTTTTTGTGTGTGTATGAGGTGAGATACTTCTTATTATATAAATTACTAAAATACATATTTGCACATACTTCATTAAAAAAAAATTCACCTGAAGAGAAAGTACACCAATAGTTTTTTAACAGGTCTCAACTTCAGTGACTAGTTCTTGTCGTATGAAGTGAACTTTTTTATGTCCTAATCCTAATATCAAGGTTTTCATAAAATATTATACAGGGAATCAATCGTTGGGTTGAATTTTGCTTAAAAATATTAAATAGTAATACTGAGCTATTATCTTAAATTGGAGCTGATGTCCTATTGGTGATGAAAGTCACATTAGGACGAAATATTGAATTATTTGGTAGTTCTTTTTTTTGTTTAAATATATTTATTGAAATTCACAACTGTATTAGTTAAAAATACAACAAGTAAATTTGAATTGGTAATATGAAATGTGCAACATGAAGGAAAACTACCCATCGGTAGCACTACATATTTGGTAATTCAAAATTTTATTTCGTTTGAGATTTTTTTTTTTTTCTGAA